ACCAGCTGAGGTACGAGGGCCGTCGGCAGAGCCACGAGGGACCCCAGCAGAGCTATCAGGGCCACCAGCAGACTTTCGAGCGCCACCAGCAGAGCTACGAGGGCAACCTCCCGAGCTACGAGGACCACGAGCTGGACTACACGGACAGCAGGCAGAGCTTCGAGGGTCACCAGCAGAGCCACGGGGCCCCCAGAAGAATGCGAGGACCAGCGGACCTTCGAGAACCACCAACTGCGCTACGAAGACACGGGGCTGAGCTGACCGGAACATGGGCGGGGCTTCGAGGGCCACCTGGTAATGTATTGCAGCCGCCAGCGAAATTACGAGGACAGCCCGCTGCACTTCGAGGGCAACAGGCAGAGCCTCCAGGGCCACCAGCCGAGCTTCGGGGGCCACCCGCCACCCGCTGCGCTTCAAGGGCCACCTGCTGAGCTACGTGTACCATAAGCTGAGCTATGAGGGCCACCGGCTGAGCTGCGAGGGCCACGAACTCAGCTACGAGAGCCACGCGCAGGGCCACGAGGACCAGCGGCTGAGCCACCAGGGCCACTAGCCGGGGCACGAGTGACACGATCTGAGCTACTTGGGCCACCGCGCTACAAGGGCAAGCAGCAGAGTTACGACAGCTTCTTCGGCCACCAACTGAGCCACCAGGGCCAACCGCGGGGCTACGAGCACCACCGCCTACAGCTACAAGGACCGCGTGCTGACCCACCAGGGCGACCAGCTGAACTATGATAACCACAAGCTCGGCTACTTAGGACCACCGGCAATACTGCGAGAGCCACCTTCAGAGCTCCAGGGGCCACCTCCTCAGCTACGACGGCAACCAAGTGAGCTACGGCGGCCTCCGGAAGAGCTTCGACCACGCGATCCACATAATGATGTGGAGGCCGCGAAAATCAGAGAGATCGCAGCTACCTGCCAATACAAATGGGACATCTACCGCCAGCTGCGGATCCGTACCATTGAGGCCTCCTGCGAGGCGGACCGCGTCTCTTACGACGAGTAGTGGCAGAGCATCGCCATGTTGCGCCGCCAGATTAGAGGCCTGCTTGCGGCCATCAGGAGCTACCATATGACCTCGCGTGGACCTAACGATGACGGCGCGGCCAGCCAACCTGAAGCCGGGCACGCGGGCACTACGGCTCCCGCCTTTTCAGTTGACGCCGCTTCGCTTTTTCCGACGAGCATCACAGTTGGCGCGACTGGCCTGCCTGAAGCCAGCAGACCACGGACCAGGTCGCGTGCCGGACCACTGCCTACGCCAACGCGAGCTACGGCGGCCAGGCCACTGGCAACATTTGCAGTTCGAAGACCTACTGACTTCGGGGCCTCGCGGTTCTGGGCTGGCTAGGTAACGCCCCCGTTTTCCCCCTCCCTTCCGTGCATCTCTCGCTCTCCTTGTTCTTCTCCGGGGGGTTGTACTTTACCGGCCTAGCGGCTTTGCGGTCCAACTACGGGGCGCAGAAGGCTACTTACTGCCTTCTCCTCCTCCTCGTCCTCCTCCTCTCCTCCTCCTCCGCCTCCTCCTCCCCCTCCTCCTCCCCTCCTCGTTCCCTTCCTCCTCCTCCTCCTTATCCTCCTCTTCTTCCTCCTCCTCCTCCTCCTTCTCATTCTTCCTCCTCCTCCTCTTCCTCCTCCTCCTCCTCCTCCTCCTCCCGAGTGTTCCTCTTCTCCTCCTCCTCCTCCTCCTCCTCCTCCTCCTCCTGAGTGTTCCTCCTCCTCCTCCTCCTCCTCCTTCTCCTCCTCCTCCTCCTCCTCCTCCTCCGGAAAGTGCCTGCGCGCTGGAGTGCGCGCGGGCCCCGCGGGCCAGTCCGGCGCGCGCTCCTGGGCTGAGGGCGCCGCGGTGTTTGCTTGCGGGGCAGGGGGGGCGGCGCTCCTGCCGCCGCGGCAGGGCAGGAAGGAAGGGAAGAGGAGGAGGAGGAGGAGGAGGAGGAGGAGGAGGAGGAGGAGGAGGAGGAGGAGGAGGAGGAGGAGGAGGAGGAGGAGGGGGAGGAGGAGGAGGAGGAGGAGGAGGAGGAGGAGGAGGACCAGTGTAAACCCAAGACGCACCAGCGATGTTGGAATACGCCCTTCCTCCAAACTGCTTCTTCATAGGCCCCGTACGCGGGTTCATTCCCACCGAGGGAATGCTCCGTTGGGGGACTACCGTGTGAAAATCCAGAAGCGTGCCAAACACCATTTCCAGGATTTTAGCATTACGAGGTAACCTGATTGTTACGTCTTGACGGTCCTGAATCGTGCCACAACACCAATCTTGGGACTTCAGCACCGCGAATCAATGTAATCGTTGCGCCCTGACAGTCCTGAATCGTTCCACAACGCCGCTTCTGGTTCGTTAATCATCAGTGTCACTGACACTTGTGAGCATGGTTCAAAACCAATGTGCTCGGCGCTACGGCGAGGGCCACATATTGAAAAGGAACCGCTTCCAATCCACAATACCTTTGCATGCTATACACACCAATTTGCGCGGCGCTTAGGCGAGAAACTCATTTTGAAAACGACCCGCACTCATCTCGTTAAACATTTTTGCAATGATTTGCAACACATGTGCTCGGCGCTGAGGCGATAGCCGCATTTTGAAAAGGACCTGCCCTCAATCAGTGAAGCTCTTGTCTGCCCTCAATCAGTGAAGCTCTTGTCAATGTTTAAAACGAGTGTGCGCGGCGCTGCGGCAATCATCACATTTTGAAAATGGCCCGCCCTCAATTCATGAGTTGTTCGCAATTTTTTGAACACGAATGTGCGCGGCGCTATGGCGAGAGCCACATTTTGGAAGCGACCCGCCCTCCATCTGTGAAGCTCTTGCAAGTGTTTAGATCGAATTTGCGCGGCGCTAAGGCGAGAGCCACATATTGGAAGCGACCCGCCCTCCATCTGGGAAGCTGCTCGCACTTTTCAGCTTGAGGACCATCAATGGTCCATAAATGGTGAGGAAGTCCCAGGCGAAACGAGCGGCCCGCCCTTTCGACCAGCCTCGCTGTGCGACAGGGAGGAGCTAGCCGTCCTGGGCGGCCGCCCTCTCCCGGGAACCGGGGCGCAAGGGCCTCCCGCACCTCGGGCAGTCCGCGCCACGGCCCCCCGCCATGGAGAGGAACACGCCGCAGGCGCCGCGCCACCGGCGGCAGGCGATGCGCAGAGATCCTGTCCGGGTGGCCCGTGGGGTGGGGGGCGCGCGGCTTGAGTGGCACGCGGCCGCCTGAGGCGCGCGAAGGAAGGCACGGGCGCCAGCCGGCAAGCCTTGGGCCGCGGGGAGGGCGGCTGCAGGCTGGGCGCCAGGCTGCCCAGCCGCAGCCTGGTGCTGGGCGGCCCGGCTGGCCGCGGCTCGGAAGGAAGGAAGGGGGGGGGGTCCCAAGTCCAGCTGCCCCAACCGGGCCCTGACAGAACGGGAGGGGGCCGAATTGACAGAGTGCCTGAGGCACTGGGAAGAGTCAGCCAGCGAGCCGAGTGATGCACACACGGGTGCAGCCCAGGCCGCGCCAAGACCCCATCTAGACGATGGGGGGGCGGAAGGCGTCAGCCTGGAGCTGAACACACTTCGAGGTAAGGGGTAGGGGCTCCGGGACCGCAGATTATGGGGGGATCGGACGGCCGCTCTTGGGCTCGATCCCTCGAACGAGCTGTCTCACATTCGACAGAACATCAGCTCGCGTGGATTTCATTTCAGGGGGTCCAGGTCAGGGTCCTTCAGTTTTTTTTTTTTTTTTTTTTTTTTTTGTTTTTCTCTCCAAATATTTGCTAACGTGCATAGTAGTGGCCACATAGCTCGCTGAGGTCTACGGGATACGGGCCTCCCACTGTCCACGGCACGTGTCTTCACTCGCCTTGCAGCGGTTTTGGAGCAGAAGCCATGGCTCTCGACAAACTCTTGGGGCAAGTGGCCCGCCTTCTGAATAGTGTATCGACTTCGAAGGGCTGTGGTTTAGGCTGCCTGAGCCGCGCCAAAGAAAGAAGGGGTACAACATCGTAAGGGTCTCAGCCTCAGTATCTGCCCTTTCATGCCCCTGCCTCGTTCTGTCGGCCGTTCGGTTTGCGGTCTCCCCTCGTCACGCCTCGCGTCAGCTTGGCACCCCGAGTCTGGCGCAGCCAACCTGCAGAGGTGATCGTGAGATTCCGCCTGCCTCTTTCTCTTCCCCCACCTGGGGGAGAATCTCCCGCCGTGTTGTCTCAGCGAAACGCCTCCATGATCAGTTTCGGCCGAGGATGCCTTTCAGCCTGCCCTGCGTGTTACAGACGCTGCCCACCACCGCCCCCTCGCAACTCCCCCGCCTGCCTACACCCGCAGCTACTTTATCTAAACTCGGTTCCCACGTCCCCACATCGAACCCTTCGAGACGCGTTGTGGAAACGATCTGCCGTCCATCCGCGCAGGTGCTGGTGATTTCAACACTTAAAGCCACACGCTGCGAGGAAGTCTCATGCGAACGCTAGGCCCGCCCTGCCGATGCGTCTGGTGGTCGGACAAGGCGGAGGCAGTGATATGGAAGAGGCACGGCGGAAAAGGGAGGAGCGAGAGGACGACAATGACATGATTATGCGTTTTCAAGGCGTTCTGGGATCGCGCACGTGGGGGCCGCACTGGCGGGGCCTGCCCAGCGCTCCTGCTCAAGATATCCTGCTTGCCGCAACACGAGGCCGCCCACATGGGCCCATATTGGAAGGGGAGGGAGGAGGATCGAAGCCCAAGGATCCAGGATCGAGGCTCTTGAGCGCTTTGGGCCCCCGGAGCGCTCCTGAGGATCGAGACTCGTGGGGCCCTCTGGAGAGCGGGGGAGGATCGAGGCCCGAGGATCGTGGATCGAGGCCCTTGAGCCTTTCGGGCCCGCGATCGCGCTGCATCGCCGATGCGTCGGCGATCCGGACGGCCGGTGCGTCGGCGATCCTCCGAGGCCACCCCGCCCCCATGCGTGCGGCCCCCCCAGCACGGCGGCCTGACCCCCGCCCTCGCGCCGCTTCTCCAGTCGGGTGCCCTGGCGGCGGGCCCCGCGCCTCAGGACCAGAAGACCGCGATCTTCGACCTGCAGGGGCAGCTGAGCCGGGAGCAGACGCTGTCCACCTTCATCACGCCCGGCGACCCGGGGGTTTTGGGGGTGGGGCGGGGCCAGGGGGGATGAGGGGGCACCGAGGAGGCAAGGCGGGAAGACGAGGGATGAGGGTATCGGGGCGAGGGATTAGCGATGAGGGACGTGAGGGACGTGAGGGACGTGAGGGACGAGGGATGATGATGATGATGATGGTGATGATGATGATGATGATGATGATGATGATGATGATGATGATGATGATGATGATGACGAGGATGGTGATGAGGATGATGCCAACGCTGATGATTATGCTGACTTTGCTGCTGCTGATGATGCCGATGATGCGGCTGGCGATGCTGCTCTTGATCAGCAGCACGATGATGCTGATGATGTTGATGATGATGGTGATGATGATGAAGATTGTGAAGATGATGGTGATGATGCTGTTGCTTCTGCTGCTGCTTCTGCTGCTGCTCATGATGATGACGACGATGATTATGCTTATGCTGATGGTGGGGATGATGGCGGCGACATCAATGATGACGGTGATGATGTTGAGGATGATGATGATGATTTATGCTGATGATGACGATATTGCTGCTGCTGATGATTATGAGGATGCTGATGATGCTGATGATGTTGATGATTATGCTGGTGAGGATGCAGACGATAAAGATGATGTTGGTGATATGGAGCATGATGGTGATGGTGAAGTTGATGATGATGATGATGATGGTGGTGATGAGGACGAAGATGCTGTTGCTGCTGCTGCTGATTATGATGATGATGATGATGATGATGATGATGATGATGATGATGATGTCGACGAGGCTGATGGTTATGCTGATGGTGAGGATGATGACGACGACGACAAGGATGCTGACGATGATGATTCTTCTGATTCTGATGACGAGGAGGAGGATGACGATGATGATGATGATGATGATGATCATGCTGATGATGATGCTGATGATGATCATGCTGATGATGACGATGCTGATGATGTCGGTGAGGATGCAGACGATGATGACGCTGATGATGATCCTGATGCTGATGCTGCTGATGATGATGATGATGCCGACGATGATGATGGTGATGATGATGTTGATGATGACGATGATGATGATGATGATGATGATGATGATGATGATGATGATGACGTTGCCGACGATGATTATCACGGAGATGATGCTGCTGATGATGGCGATGCTGAGCATGCTAGCGATGAATGCGAGCATGATCATTATGATGCTGCTGATGGTTACGGTGCTGCTGCGGATGATGATGATGATGATGATGATGATGATGATGATGATCATGCTGATCATCATGATTGTGATGATGCGGACTGTGATTTTTTTGTTCGTGACGATGACGATGTCGCTGCTACTGCCATTGATTATGTTGATACTGATGCTGACGATGTCGATGTTGATGTTGATGCCGGTGATGGTAATGGTGCTGATGATGATGAGGATGATGAGGGTGATGATGATGATGCTCACAATGATTGTGTTGGTAACGACGATACTGCTGCTGCTGCTGATGCTGATGCTGATGTTGATGATTACGACGGCGATGATGCTGATGATGATGCTGAGGATGCTCATGCTCATGCTGCTGATGTTAATACTGCTGATTATGGAGAATGTAATGACGACGATGATAATGATGATGATGATGCTGATGATGATGATGAATCTAAAGATGATGGTGCTGATGATAAGGATGATGATGATGATGATGCTGATGCTGATGCTGATGCTGATGCTGATGATGACACTGATGCTGATGATGACAGTGATGATACTGATGATGCTGATGATGATGATGCTGATGTTGATGATGCTTGTCATGCTGATGATGATGCTGCTGATGATGCAACTCATGATGATGCTGATGCGGATGCTGATGATACTGGTAATGGTGACGCCGATGATGATGCTGATGAGGATGATGCTGATGATTATGATGATGATAATTGTAAATGCAATTTCAGTTGCTGATGATGATGTGGATGCTGATGCTGATGCGGCTGATGATGATGATGATGATGATGATGATGATGATGATGATGATGATGATGATGGCGATTCTGGTTATGATGGTCGTGGCGGCGCTTTGATTACGTTGAGTTGATTTTTCGAATAACTGTTTTTAGCCTGTCTGGGCCTCCTGAAGAGTTCCCGTCGCCGCAGCGGGTACCGCTTCGAAATACCCGTCGGAACGCGCGCCAGGAGAGGCCTGGGAGACGCAGGAAGGGAGATGCTACATCAGAGAGCTGGGTACAGATCGGGGGTAGGGAGATCGATTGAAGGCCCGAGGGGTTGGGAAGGCAGTCGGCCGAAGACGGGAGAAGGATACACAGAGAAGGAGAGCGATGCACCGAAGCCTGGGGGCTCGGTGGTGATGCGACGTGGCCCCTCCCCTCATGGTCCGTCCCCTGCGTCGTCCGCTCCTCCTTCCCCCACGCTCTCCCTCCCCCTCCCTCGTCCTCCTGCCCCCCCCCCCCCTCCCGTTTCCCCCCCTCACTCCCGCTCGACGGGTGCCGTCCTCCGCGGCGGACTCGTTGGGACATCCTAGCTGCCCGCCTCTGCGTGCCCTTCCTGTCTGGCATGGGCCTGGCCTCGTGCAGGCACGGCTCTGCTCTCCATGCTGCGTCCTGCGTCCCTCGTCGCCGACGGGGTGAGCGGGCGAGGTGCTGGGTCCGACACGGGTTTTTGTTGTTGATTTTTCGGGCTCCGGAGGCCGTTTTCGGGCCCTGGGACGGGCAAGCAATGTATCTTGGGTGAGCAACTGCACCAGGTGGACCCCCGGAGGGGTCTGGGGACTGATTCTGGGCGGATTCGCCTTCATCCCCCCCCTCCTCTCCTGACCGATTTTCTCGGGGACCAACCAGCTCAGACCCCCTGGCCGCCTCCAACTGCGATTGTTGTTCCCTCGTCTTCGTTTCGTTCGTTTTCGTCTTTGTTTGGGCCTCCTGGGAGGCCCTCGTCGCCACGGCCGGATTCGCGTCGAGATTCTGGTCAGAACGCACTCGGGGAGAGGTCCAGACGGTAGAGGGAAACAATTAGTGAACACTCCCCCTCCCCCCAAACTCGACATTGGCACGCGTGGGGGAGACTGCGGTCGAGGTGCACGTATCAGACCCACCGCCAACGTTGTGCATTTGGGGGAGGGGGAGGCGTCGACAGATTAAATTTGGCATGAGTGCCCGCTATTTTTTCCCAGGCCTGGCTCTCCGACGCTGTGGGGCGTGGGGGGGCAGCGCCGCGCCTTGCCGCTCGCCTCGGTACCCCGGGCCACGCCCGAGCAGCTCGGTGGCTGCTCGACGCGGCGGCCTGGGGCCTTGGCCGCCTTGAGGAGCGAGCGAGTGGAGGACGTCCGCCCGGCTCCCCGATGTCGAGGCTCTCTCGGAACGGCCGCGGAGGAGTCCAGGACGATGTCCGGGGCCCCAGGATTTGAAGACGGAGAAACGGTGGTTGTGGTTGTTGTTGTTGTTGTTGTTGTTGTTGTTGTTGTTGTTGTTGTTGTTGTTGTTGTTGTTGTTGTTGTTGTTGTTGTTGTTGTGTGTGTGTGTGTGCTTGTTGTTGTTTTCTCAGTAGAAGCCAACGGAAGGTCATGTCAGAGCCTCCTGGAGGCGTCAAGAGCGGACTCGGGCAGCCCCCGAGCCTTGCCTTTTGCAGCGTGTGAGTCTGCTTCCCGTTCCCTCGGCTCTCCGGCCCCGTGGGCTCCGGGAGGGCTCCGGAAGGCTCCGGAGACGGCCCAGGAGCCCGAAGACGAGCGAAGAGCGTTTTTTTGTTTGTTCTGTTTTTGTTTCATCCTCTGGGCCATAATGCGCGTTATGTCCCCTCCCCCCCCATTCTCCCCTCCCCCACTCTATGCCTCGAAGGGTTCCCCCAATATCCGCCCCGCGGTTCCCCCAGTTACGTCCCCTTAGCTTAGCGTTGCTTATCTCATCTTAGCTTAGCTTATTTGATCTTAGCTTAGCTTAGCTAAGCTTAGCTTAGCATAGCGCAGCGCTGCATTAGCATAGCATAGCATAGCATAACATAGCCAACCATCTCATAGCATAGCATAACATAACGCAGCATATCATAGCACAGCATAGCATAGCACATCACCTTATAACATAACATATCATAACATAGCATAGCGCAGCTTAGCATATCATAGCATATCATATCATGTCATAACATATCGGATCATAGCTTAACATATCGCAACACAGCATGCCATATCATAGCTTATCACACCATATCATTTCATATCATATCATATCATAGCATAGCGTAGCCTAGCATATCATATCATATCATAACATAGCATAACAACACATATCGCAGCATAGCATGGTATAACATAGCATAGCATAGCATAGCAACTAATGCTGCTTTCCTAGGGGCTCCAACTTCTAGGTAGGGTCGCACTGGGGTAATCCTCTGGGCCATAATGCGCGTTATGTCCCCTCCCCCTCATTCTCCCCTCCCCCATAACGTACACACTGTTAATTTCCATTTCTTCGAAAGTTCTTTGATTTTTTTGGGGGGCCAAGTTCCTTTCATTTCTAATTGTTCTATCCTGGGCCTCTTCCTGGCCACTAGGGAACCAGGCACAATTAGAAACGAGCGCACTTAGAAATGAGCACGATTAGAAATGAACGACGTGTAACGCCCCCCCCCTCAGTGCGCCCCCGGCACTGCCGCAGTGCGTCGGGCGCCACAGTCTGGGGAGGTGGGGCGCTGCGTAATGCCCCCTCCTGTCCCCCCCCCATAGAGCCCGCTATGACCGCGGATCAAACAAAATACGCTCCAAGAGGGCTTCAAGAAGGCTCCAAGACGGCCTCAAGACGGCCAACCAGGGCTTCCAGAGGTGCCCAGTTTTGGCCTCCTAGATTGGGTCGGGGTAGATGGGGTCAGAGGATCGCGCCGCATCGCTGATGCATCGGCGATGCGGCTCGATGTGGGGCCTAATTTTCTTCACGCCGACGGCCCCAGCGCCAGCCCATGGGGAGCGCCAAGACTATCGGCGGCGGGTCTCCTGCGTCTCTGCAGGCGCTGCAGGATGGCGCATTAGGGGGGCCCGAAAGCGGTCTTCGGTGCGGCCTTCGAGAGGTCCCCAAGATCGAAGAACAACAAACGACATAAACATTAACTTTTGGAGCTCTGCGCGGCGGATTTCTTGGATCGGCGCTGGGCCCCCCTCCCTGGCGCGTGTAGCGCGCCAGGGGCGGCGCCGGAGGCGCCGCCGGGTGGGCCCAGCGCAGATCGAGAAAATCCGTGCAGAGCTCCAAAACTTTATCGGCCCATTGACAAAGCGATCGTTGTCTGATTCATTGTTTTGCAGATCGGCGCGGGCCCTCGCACTCCCCTCCCCACTCCTGGAGCAGATCTTGGCTGCTTCTGGCAGCGGCCCATGGCGCTTCCAAGAGGGGCCCAGCAGGGCCTCGTCTAGCCGAAGGGTGCCGAGCGGGCGGTGCAGGAGGCCCAGCGGCTGCACGTGAGCTCTGGGACGGCTGCTGCATACAGGGGCGCCTTTAAGGAGCGCTTCCCGTTGTGCCAACAGGCGGTTTCACGAGGGATCGTGGCCCTGTGGGGGCGCGGACCCGGCGCAGCTCACGAGGGTTAAGGGGGGCACGAATCCCGACGCCGCTCCCTACCCACCCTAGGCTGGTTTTAAGTTGCTTTGCGCTGTGCGGGAGACTTGTAGCCTCGCAGGATGGGCCCGGGGGGGCAGCACGCAGCTATTGTATTGCTTCCTACATCTCCACGGCGTAATATCTTCTGGCGCGCCGTGTGAATCGGCTCACACGCCGTGTGAATCGGCTCACACGCCGTGTGATCTCCAGCAGTGCCGTGTGAATCGCCTCACACCCTGGAGACCCCACGAGGGCCAGCGGACGTTCGCTGCATCTCCAGACGCTGATCACTCTGCATCTCCAGACGCTGATCACTGATTGCTTCTAGGACCGTGCGTGGGCGCGCAGTAGTATATCTGTTGGACTGGGTATTTCTTCGGCGAGCAATTATGACAAAACACATAGCTTATTCCGTGCGCCAGGGCTTTTATCACGAATTGATTGCCACGCTCGGCACAAGCAGACATGCTGCTGCAGTAAAACGCTCATCATCCCCCTCGGAGGAATGTATGGAAGGTCACCGTCTGTCTGCTCCGACGGGCATCAACATATTTAAACATATTTAGTGATGCGATCGGCAGCTTTACGGCATCGACGAACCGTTGAATTGCAAGAGTGCCCCCCCATCCAGGCGAATTCATGAAGATGGCCAAGAGGGAGCTGGCGCCCTTGAACGTGCACGAGAATTGTGACTTGAAGCTGAAGATCTCGGGTCTTGAGACGGAGGTTCAGGTCGGGCTCAGGGTCTGGAACTGAGGGTGCGGGAGGAGGAGGTGGGTCTCGCACAACAGAGATCTTACAATCTTCACGATGGGTCCAATGAGATCTTGGCAGTGTCTGGTCACGCTGCGTCACCAACTGCTCGGCTACGTGAGTTGTCCTACAGCAGGCGCGCACAGCGAGAAATACGGCTGTACGACGCCCAGAGGTATACAGTCAACGCGCCTCTTAGGGACGCGCGCCTTCATCTAGGGTACCCTTGAGTCCTTGCCTCTGCGGCCCGTCCTTCGCTGTTTTCACTGGCCGCCCCCCGCCCCCAAAAATCCAACTTCGGCCTCCAAGGGTCCTGCGTCCTTACCACCCGTCCTTAATACACGTTTTGACTGTAGTCATTGTTTCTATGATTTTTTTGAGGCGCCCCGGGACTTCAGAAGAGGATGGAAAAGAGCAGGAAAATACGACGCGGAAAACAAGGGCGGCGACGGACTGGCGCCGTCGTGCGAATCCTCTCGGGGGCCTGCGGGAGGGAGTTTGGATGCTTCTGGGGAGTGGTTTGGGGGCCTCTTGGGGGCCTCTTTGGGACTTCTAGGGGGGCCTCTTGGGCGCCTCTTGGGGCCTCTTGGGGGCCCCGGGGCCTGCGCGTGGCAGGGAGCTGCCGTGGGGCCGCGGCCGGCAGGGGCGGCGGCTCCTCACGGCGTGTGCCTGCCGCGCTGCCCCGAGCTGTGGTGCTCTGCGCTCTCCAGCTGGGGCCCCGGGGGGGCTCTTCCCCCCCCCACCTGGCATCGCTCGGACGTGTGCATCTTTTTCTCGGCGAGAACCATCGAGGACCATCCTGGACCATCGAGCAGCACAAAACACGCGCGAAACCGAACACTGCACAGGGAGTGGACGTCCGAGCGATGGCAAGCCCATCCCCCGAGAGCGCGGGCGGGAGCGTGCGCAGAGGGGGAAGCGGAGGAGGAGGAGGCGGAGGGATGGATGGAACCGGGGGGGGCAGACCGAGGAAGAGAAGGGCGGAGGAGGAGGAGGCGGAGGAGGAGGAGGAGGAGGAGGAGGCGGAGGAAGGAGAGAGGAGGAGGGAGGGGGGAGGAGGAGGGAGGGGGAGGAGGTGGGAGGCGTGATGAGGATGAGGAGGATGATGATGGGGGTGATGATGATGCTGATGATGATGCTGATGATGATGATGATGAGGATGATGAGCATGATGAGGATGATGATGATGATTCTGATGATGATGGCGATGATGATGGCGATGATGATGATGATGATGATGATGATGATGATGATGATGATGATGATGATGATGATGATGATGATGATGATGAACATGATGATGATGATGATGATGATGATGCCGTGACTGCTTATAATGGTGATGAGCATGCTGATGATTATGCTCATGGTGGTGGTAATGATGATGGTGATGATGATGTTGAGGATGATTGTGATGATGATGCTGCTGATGCTGATCATGATAGTGTGGGCCCCATAATGATGGTCAGTGTGATGAGTATCATGATGAGGGTGATGACGATGATAATGATTATGATGATGATGATTCTGATGATTGTGCGAATGATAATCATGATGCCGACGACGAGGACGATGGACATCTCGATGATAACGATGGTGATGATGATGCAGCTGATGATGATGATTATTATGAAGAGGATGGTGGAGATGCTGCTGATGGTAAGGATGCTGATGATGATGCGGGAATGATGAAGATGGCGATGAAGATGACAATGACGATGACGACGATGATGATGCTGCTGCTGATTATGATGATGCTGCTGATGATGATGGCGATAATGACACTGATGATGTCAATGATGTTCTTGATGATGATGCTGACGATGACGACGATGACGACGATCAGGATGATGATGACGATGACACTGATAATGATGATGATGATGACGATGATGGTGATGATGATGATACTGATGATGACGACGATGCCGACCATGATGCTGCTGATGCTGCTGCGTCTGCTGATGATGGTGATGGGCATCACGACTTTGATGATTGCGATGCCGATGTCGATGCTGGTTATGATTATGATGGTGATGTTGATTACATGGTGCTGATGATGATGATTCTGATGACGATGGTGATGTGGATGCTGTTGATGATCATGACGGCGACGACAGTAATACTGTTGATGACGATGGTGATGATGATGTTTTATGGTCATGATCTTACAGTTGATGATGATTACGATGATGATGATGCTGGTGACACCGATCATGGTAATGACGATGATGATGTTGATGATGATGCTTCCGTTGATGATGACGATGATGATGATGATGATGATGATGATGATGGTGTTACTGCTGCTAGAGATGATCAGGAGGATGAGGATGGGGTTGAGGATGAGGATGCGGATTCTGATGATGCTGCTGATGCTGATGATGATGATGATGATGGCGATACTGATGATGTTTATGATGCTGATGGCGATGTTGATGCTGATGATGCTGACGATGATTCTGATGACGACGATGCTGGTGATGATGATCATGATGATGGTGGTGGTGGTGGTGGTCGCGATGTCGATGCTGCTTCTGATGATCATGATGATGATGATGACCATGATTATGATGATGATGCTGTTGCTGCTGATACTGATGCTCATGCTGCTGCTGCTGCTGATGATGATGATGATGATACTGAGGATGATGATGCTGATGATGATAATGCTGATGATACTGATTCTGATCATGTTACTAGTGATGATGCTGATGATGATGATGATGACGATGATGATGATGATGATGATGACGATGATGATGATGATGATGATGGTGGTGGTGGTGGTGATGATGATGATGATGATGATGGTGGTGGTGGTGGTGGTGGTGGTGATGATGATGATGATGATGATGATGATGATGATGGTGGTGGTGATGATGATGATGATGATGATGATGATGATGATGATGCTGATGATGATGATGATGATGATGATGATGATGATGATGATGATGATGATGATGATGACGACGACGACGACGAGCAGGAGGAGGAGAAGGAGGAGAAGGAGGAGGAGGAGGAGAAGGTGGAGGAGGAGGGAGGACTTGGAGGAGGAGGAGGAGGAGGAGGAGGGAGGAGGAGGAGGAGGAGGAGGAGGAGGAGGAGGAGGAGGAGGAGGAGGGGGGGGAGCGCCGCACCCATCTCGGCAGACCATTCAAACGTTTCGTGGCACCATGTGCATTTCAGGAAGCTTTGCCGACGGACCCTGTGGTAGCGCCCGTATGGCCCGAGCTGCGTCCGTTTTGTGGTGCGCTTCCCATAAGGAGAGGCTCATGTCCTACGCCGCTCGTAGTTTCCTCGCCCCTCTCCTTCGTATCACCTGCCTTGCGGTACTCGCAGATGCACATGGTTGGGTCCTCCGTCAGGCTAATTTCTATCCTTGGGGAGGTAGCGCCCATCACCCCACCCCTGCCCCTCCCCCCCCGCATTTGTCACGGTCACGATCACACTGAGGGTGGGGGGTGGACGCCTCCCCCTCCCCCCTCCTCACACTCACAGGCATGTGATGGCGCTCCAAGCTACTGCGGTGGTCATGCGCGCTGTGCACGCTTCGGTGCTCGCGCACCACCGTGCTGCTCACGGGCACACGGGCGCGCTCCGGCGCCCAGGTGCTTACAGGCATCCTGCGGCGGCGCTGCTCTCCCGACCTCTGGTGCCCCTTGTGGCGCTCTGGTGCTCGCAGGCGTACTTGCGGTGCCTGCAGGCGTGCCGTGGCGCTTGCAATACAACGCGGCACTTGCTACGTTGCTGTGCTCGCAGGTTGCTGCGGAACTGAGCTGCTCAGCAGCCGAGGTTGAGTACCGGGAAGCTGGACACAAGGAAGGGGCCAGCACGGGCAAAAGTTGGAAGCACGTGTGGCCGTGTGCGTCTCCGGCGCGCGGCCCTCGGGTATGCTTCCGTCAGTTGGCTTCGGGATGTATTTTTTGTTGCAGTTGGCCGATGGATGTGTGTGTGCGTGTGCGTGTTCAAACGATTTGGCTCCGGCTCCGGATGTGTTTCCAGCGATCGGCCCCATTGCATTTCCACCTGATCGGACCTTATCCTCCTCGTCCGGAGGAGCACTAGCGGGGGTATCTCGGAGTGCGACCCCAGGCATGCAGGTCAGCACCTCCCCAGCAGCGACAGACGAGCTCAGAGGGACCGTCACTAGCGGGGGCATCTCGGCGTGCGGACCCTTAGGAGAGGAGCTTGCACAGATAAACGTCTTTGTCTTTCTCTGGAGCGCCGACAGGTGCACCACCACTGGGGCGACGAGTGGAAAACGAGGCCCCCCCAGAGACCACTAGAGTGTAATCCTTAAGGGCCCCTCCTCCCGCGAAGCGACAGTGGTAAGTGACCAGCATGGCCAGCATCACAAATTTGGAAGCCTCTCACACGCCGTGGCAATAATAGTTTTGCTCGCCCCTACTTACACGCCGACCAGAGGGGGTACCTCAGAGGTGTATTGGAGTACTACAGAGGATTTGGATACAGAGTGCTGCAGCACAAAATTGTGTCGGACACTACGTTGCATGGTTCGGCCATCGGCCAGCACGTCCAGGAAGCGAAATGAGCCTAGAGAGGGAGGGGCTCTGTTCGAAGCGTGGGCGCAGCAGGACGTAGGTATAATAACAGTTCGGCCCCTCATCAAACGCTTGGCACGAGGGGGCCTCCTGCATTCTCTCCTCTCCCCCCTGCGTCGTGGAGTGAGGTCGTGTCGTCGTCCTCCCCCTGCTTGGGAGCCCTGCTCGCCCAGCGCGTCCCCCTCGGAATGGGCACGCGAGAGGGCCAACAGCTGCTCCCCCCGCACGGGCCCGTAGGGACTCGTACTCACAAGGTAGCGAGCCCCTCTTGCGGGGCCACCTCGGCGCTCGCCCCTGGGAGCGTCGGGTATGCCCCCTGCGGGCCCCATGAGAAAGAAGTCTGGGTCTGCGGCATACTAAATTCGCATGGGAATATTACAAGTCGTACCCCACAGCTCCTTCGTAGACATTTCGACGTTGACCCCCTTATGCGGATGTCCTGTCCTGTCCTGTCCTGTCCTGTCCTGTCTTGTCCTTTCCTGTCCTGTCCTGCCTGTCCTGTCCTGTCCTGTCCTGTCCTGTTCTGTCCGGTCCTGTCCTGTCCTCCTCCCCCTTCTCCTCATTATGCAGGCTCTTGCCCTTCGAATTCAGGAGCGGGGGCAGGTTCGGAAGGATCGAGCCGCCGCAGAGTGCGGCTATTAACGCTACCGATACGTAGGACGATAATGCGGTGACATTAACCCAGCCGGCTTTCGCCGAGAATGCGGTGACTTCAACCCGGCCGGCCAATCGAGCACCGTTCTTTGTCGTGGAACAAACGGTCAGGCCTCCTGAGGACTCCAGGAAAACAAAAATCGTCCTCCTCATCTGTCCTTTTCCTTGTCTCCCTCAGCTTCCTTCCCCGCCCCCTCCTCCCCCCGCCTCCTCTTCCACCTCCTCCTCCTTCTCCTGCTCCCCTTCCCCCTCCGCCCGATGCCTTCTCACTCGATTCCCCCCTCCTCGTGCATGCCTCCGTCTTGCCCCGCCCTGGCCGTTCGAGGCCGCGCCGCCGTGGCGTCCCAGCAGCCGCGGTCGCCCCCCCGCGATGTCCCCGGGGCGCTCCCCGACTTCTGCCTTGGTCGGCCCCCTCCGGGCGGCCCCCGCGCCCCCAGGGCTCCCGACTCTTGCCCCAGTCAGCCCCAGGGCTCCCCGCTTTCCCCGCAGTCGCCCCCACGGCCCCGGGTCGGCCCCGGGGCTCTGGGCCTCTACATCGGTCGGCCCCAGAGGGCCACCCTGGCCAGCTGGCAGGCCGTCTTGGCCATCTTGGGGTCCACCTTGGGCCATCTTGAGGCCGCTCTGACATGGTTGCCACCGTGGGGGCCCCTTTGGGCACATGGGGAGGTCGCCATGCCAGATGCCTTCGGGTTCTGGTGTCCAGAGCCCGCCGATGTTTTGCATGGCGACCAGGGCAGGGCTTCTGTGGTCTCGGGGCCGCCACTGCAAGCGTCCTGGGGTTTTCGGCTGTCCGCGCCCGTGGGTTTCGGCACGGCGACTCCGAGTTGCCCCTGTGGGCCCGGGGGGCCGCCATGTCAAACGTCCTGGGGATTCGGCTTTGCCGAGCCCTGGGTCTCGTGACGTGTCGGCCCAGTTGGGGCGTGGGGGCTTTCCTAGGGGGGTGACCATGTCAAACATCCTGGGGTTCTGGCCGTGCCGAACCCAAGTTTTTGTTGGTGTTCGGGGGGTCGCCATGGCAAACTTTTCGGGGTTCTGGCTGCCAGAGCCGAGCCGTCTTTGACATGGCGACCCCGTGGGACTTCCATCGGATTCGGTTGGGGGTCGCCATGCCGAAAAACTCCATCGGTTCTGGCTGCCAGAACCGACACTTGTTGGCATGGCGACCCTATGGGGCCCCCTTTGACTTAAGGGGGTGGCGACATGTCAAGCATCCTGGTGTTTTGGCAGCAACAACCCACGGAATTTGAACATGGCGACCCTGTGACAGGGGGGGCCCTTTGGATTCGGAGGTCGCCATGTCAAGCATCTTGGGGCTTACTGTTAGAGCCAACGGCTATTAGACATGTCGACCCTTTGGGGGTTCATTTGGACTTGGGGGGTCGTCGTGCCAAAAATCTTGGAGGTCTGGCTGCCGGCGACCGCTGGATTCGCCGACGGCTGCTTTCGCTCGGGTGCTTTCGCCCGGCTGGTTTCGCCCGGCTGGCTTCGCCGCTCGGCGAAGCCAGCTCCGTCGGCGAAGCCAGCTCCGTCGGCGAAGCCAGCTGCCGTCGGCGAAGCCAGCTGCTGTCGGCGAAACTGCCCAACCCGACCCGCCCGCTAGGGTCCGCCCGGCCGACCCGACCTGCCCGTTAGGGTTCGCGCGTGCTCGCTCGAGCGTGTCCCACACTGTAAGCACCGCCCGCCCGACACGACCCGCCCGTTAATTAGGGCCCGCCCGCCCGACCCGACCCGCCCGCTAGGGCTCGCGCGTGCTCGGTCGAACGCGCCCCACAGTTTAATGTCCCGCCCGATCCGACCCGACCCGCCCGTCAGGGTCCGCCCGCCCGACCCGACCCGACCCGCCCGCTAAGGTCCGCCCGCCCGACCCGACCCGCCCGCTAGGGTCCGCCCGGCCGACCCGACCCGCCCGTTAAGGTTCGCGCGTGTTCGGTCGAGCGCGCCCCACACTTTAATGTCCCGTCCGCCCGACCCGACCCCACCCGCCCGCTCAGGTCCGCCCGCCCGACCCGACCCGCCCCTCAAGGTTCGCACGTGCTTGGTCAAAGGTGCCCCACACGTCAATTTCCCGCCCGATCCGACCCGACCCGCCCGTCAGGGTCCGCCCGCCCGACCCGACCCGACCCGCCCGCTAGGGTCCGCCCGCCCGCGGCGACGACGGCGTCGGCGAAACCAGCGCCGGCGAAACCAGCGCCGTCGAAACCAGCCGCTGGTGAAACCAGCGGGGCGAAACCAGCGGGGCGAAACCAGCACCGGCGAAACCAGCGCCGGCGAAACCAGCGCCGGCGAAACCAGCGCCGGCGAAACCAGCCGTCGGCGAAACCAACGGGGCGAAACCAGCTCATGCCTGGCTGCGAGTTCCGATGTAATGTTTTCCATGGCGATCCCGTGGGCCACCCCTTTGGCCTGAGGGGGCGCCGCTATGTCAAATATCCGAGTGTTCTGGCTGTTTGGAAGCCCGAGATGCTTGACATGGCGACCCTATCCCTGAGGACTCGGGAGGGTCGCCATGTCAAACATCTGCGGTTCTGTCGGTGCCAAACCTAGGGTTCTTTGAAATGGCGATCCCGCGGGGGGCCTTGCGTATTCGGGGGGCGGCCATGTCAAGCGCCATGGGGTTCTGGAAGCCAGAACCAAAAGACCTTTCACATGGTGTCCCCAGGGAGTTCCCTTGGATTCGACTCATGGGGGGTCACCATGTCAAAAACCTTGGGTGTCCTGGTTGCCAGAGCCCGCAGATGTTTGACATGGCGACCCCACGGGGGCCCCTTTGGGCTCGGGGGGGTCGCCATGTTAGGACCCGTGGGGCTTCTGGGCCTGCCGAGAAAAAAGGATCTTCGACCTGGCGGCCCATGCGCGGGCGTCGGCCAGGCGTTCACGGGGGCCTCTGGGGGGAGAGCCTCCGGTGCGACGAGGAGGAAACGGAGGAGGAGGAGGAGGAGGATGAGGAGGAGGAGGAGGAGGAGGAGGAGGAGGAGGAGGAGGAGGAGGAGGAGGAGGAGGAGGCGAAGGAGGAGGAGGAGGAGGAGGAGGAGGAGGAGGAGGAGGAGGCGAAGGGGGAGGATGAGGCGGAGGCGGCGGGCTCGGGGGGCATGGGCTTCTGGCCGCCCAAGAGCGCCTCGGGAGGGGGGCGGTGCGCTGCCGCGCAGGCGGGGGCGGCGGACGCGGGTCAAGCGACGGAGAGAGCGAGGAGCGAACGAGTGTGGCTGTCTGGGCCAGTGACCGCGCGCTTGCGAGGGAGGATCTTGGGGGCCTGAGCAAGCGCGGGCCTATAGGTCTAACATGCCTGGGGGGGACGGCCCAAAAGGGGGCCCAAGAGGGCCGCAAGAGCGTCCTTCGAGCGCCTCTTACGTAGAGGGCCACAGCAGGCTCACCCAAAGAGAGCCACAGGAGGCTGCCAGGAGAGGGTTCCCCGCCACGTCTTGCGAATACAGTCGGACCGAGGCATCCAGATCGAGGTCTGTTCGGGGAGGGTGCCCTCGGGTTCTTCGTGCATGTTGGGCGGTCTTGTGCATCCTGGGGGGGGGGGGTACCCTTGGATGTTCTGTGTGTTTTGGCCGGCGCAGTGCCTCATGTTCCTGAGGGGTGGTCTTCTGGCCCAGGTCCGACGGCAGCGGGCCCGACGGGCCAAGACTTCCCCGGGTCCACCAGCGGTTCGCGAAGAGCCCCAGAGAGGTCCCGAGGAGCACCCGGAGATGCAGCAGGTGCTCAGTTTCTCGGGCTTCAGCGTTCTCGCCGGGACGGCCCCAGAGAACCCGCAAAAGGACCCCAAGAGGGCCACGGAGGAGGCCCAGGGATGCCAGGCGCATTCTTTTCCTCAGCATTCCATCTCCTGGGATTTGGTTTCTGCTATTCGTGTGACGCGTCATCGCACTCAGACGTGCACTCGCATTCGAATCCATGCCTTGCGCCTTTTTCCCCTTTCATGGTCATCCCCAAGAAGGGCTTCCTATTACGATGATGCCTCCGCTGTATCCTGCTCCCCTCCCGCTTTCTGTTCTAAGTCCCCGGATCTTTGGCATGGCGACCCCCGAGTCCATGAACAAGATTTTTGGCCCTGGTTCCGGATGTGTTTGCAGTCGGTTACGTTTCCAGCTTCTTTGTGTTCGTGGCCTGGGGGACCTCGCGACGAGTGGCTGGAGGAGGAGAATAGACAGTGCCGATCCTCTTTGTCCGCCTCTTCTGCTTCGTCTTCATATCTTCCTCCTCCGCCTGTCTCCTGTATCAGTGTCAAGTTGCGCCTCCTCCTCGCCCCTCCTCCTCAGCCCCGCTCCTCCTCATCCTCCCGCTATTGCTTCTCGTGCCGCTGCTCCTGCTCCTCCTCCTGCTCATCCCTGTTCCCCTTGTCCTTCCGTCGCGCTTCGCACAGCGGGTCCTCCTCGCCAAGCAACGGGTTCTCCTCTTCCTGCTCCGCTGCTCCTCCTCCCCTTTTTCCCCGCCCTCCTTTTTGCCGTGCCCCCGAGGTGGCGCGGCGGCGCGGGGACGCGGCGTGGAAGCACCTGCCTGCCTCGATCCGGGAGGCGCCTCGTCGTCAGGAGGATCAGGGGCAATGGGATCGGAGGAGGAGGAGGAGGAGGACGAGAAGAAGAGGGAAGGGGGGGGCAGCAGATGATCTGATGGTGGTGATGATGATGATGTTGCTGCTGTTGATGATGATGATGATAATGCTGATGATGATGATGATGAGGACGGTGATGATGATGCCAATGCTGACGCTGATGCAGATGCTGACGATGATGCAAACTATGATGATGCTGCTGACGATGTTGATGCTGATGCTGACGCTGATGCTGACGCTGATGATGCTGATGGTGATGATGATTATGTCGATTATGACTATGATGATGATTATGATGCTGATGCTGCTGATGATAATGATGGCAATGACGATGATGATGGTGATGATGATGGTGGTGGTAATGATGGAGAGGATGATGATGAGGATGAGGATGCTGAGGATGATGATGCGGATGATGATGCCGATGATGATGATGGTGGTGCTGGTGGTGATGATGATGATGATCCTGATGATGAGGAGGATGATGCGGATGATGAGGGTGATGATGACGGTGATGCTGATGATGATGATGATGATGATGATGATGATGATGATGCTGATCATGATGATGATGCTGCCGACGATGTGACGCTGATATGATGATGCTGATGATGCTGATGATGGTGGTGGTGGTGGTGGTGGCGTTGCTGATGATGGTATTGCTGCTGCTGATGATGATGCGTACGTATGTTGTTGCTGCTGCTGATGAGGATGCTGATGTTGGCAATGCTGATCGTGCTGCTGCTGATGATGTTGATACTGCTGCTGTTGCTGATGCTACTGTTGCTGCCGAAGATCATGCTGCTGTTGCTGATGAGGGTCGTGACATGCTGATGAAGATGGGACTGGTATCATAATGTTGCTGCGAGTGTTGCTGACGACGACAAAGACGGCGATGATGATACGGAAGATGCTGTTGCTGTTGCTTATGATGGTTGTTCTATATGGTGATGCTAATGGTTATGATGATGCTGCAGCTGCTGATGACTATGATGTCGATGCTGATGAGGATCATGCTGATGTTCATGATAATGGTAATAACGGTGATGATGATGCTGCTTCTCATGATGATGATGATGATGATGATGATGGTGATGATGATGATGATGATGATGATGATGATGCTGATCATGATGATGATGATGATGCTTATGATGATGGTACTGATGATTTCGATTTGGATTTTGATGGTGATGATGCTGATGAGCATGATGATGATGCTGATGATGATGATGATGGTGGTGGTGATGGCGGTGACGGTGACGATGATGAGGATGATGGTGCTGATGCTGACGCTGATGCTGCGGATGATGATGGTGCTGATGCTTATGACGATGATGACGATGATGACGAGGAGGTGGCCCAGGAATCACGCTTCGCTCTGGACTTCATCACGGTTTACTTTGGAATCGTGCTATCGTTCGAGACCCCATCGCGATTCATGCAAGGCTGACGCTTCGGCGACCCGCCCTCTCGACCTGGCTGTCGTTTCTCGCCTTCACGACCCGCCCGTGAGGGGCCGCCTGCCCGACCCGTTCTTCTTGTAAGGCGCTTTGCTTTGCTTCACTAAACCCCCCCCCTCCTGCAAATCTCCCTTGTGCTCCATCATTCTCCCTCCCCCTGTCCCTTCCCTCCTCCCTCCCCCCCCTTTTTAGGGACTGCGCCGACTACGTGGTAGGTGAGGAAGATATACCCTCAACGGTGGTACGATCGAAGACGGGTAGGGCAGACATCGAGGGTTTGGGATGAGCATGTCGAGTGGCACGCGAGCAGATAAGAGCGAGCCGTCTTAATATGGTTGCTCTTGTTGTTTTCGCTGGTGTTGATGATGATGATGATGATGATGATGATGATGATGATGATGATGATGATGATGATGATGATGATGATGATGATGATGATGATGATGATGATGATTGTGGTGGTTGTGCTGATGGTAATGCTAATGACCATGTTACTGACGACGCCGACGATGCCATCGCCAATGATGACGACGATGTTGTTGAACTATTGCTAACTCCTCACGGGTGCGCCTGGTTTTTCAGTCGAAGTGCCCCCCGACGCTCGCACCTGTTCTATTCCAGGGGAAGTATTGAGGCTCAACATGTGTCGTTGGTTCCCCGGCGACTCCTTAGAACTCATGTTGTGTTCTCGCTCTCGCACAGAAATTGTGCTCGCGTGCAAGATGCCCTCACAATGTACGTAGACATCGTGCTCCCTCATGAGAGTTCCTCACAGCTTCGGTTTGCATGCGTGGACAGACAGTGGCTTATTGCACTCTCGATGCGCACCACTGTGTGGGCTGCCAGGCAAGCGGTGCAATCTAATGGAGCAAGCCATGTGGTACAATCTATGTGGTGCAGGTTAGGTAGTACCACCTACGTGCTGTGAGCTATGTGGCACAATCTGTGTGGTGCGAGCTAGGTGGTGCAATCTGTGAGGAGCTAGCTTCTTGTTTTCCACTGTCTACAAAGCCGATATCAGTTGGCTCCCGCAGGAGCCCAACACTACTCTACATCGAATGCCACGCATCATGGCAATCCCAACTCGCACCATCCAGTCACTGAAGCAAGAGCATCAAGACGCGACGCGCACGTGAGGACCGAGGCAGGGCCGCTCCGCGCCGCAGACCAGCCGCGCCCCGCCTGCTCCCCCGCAGGAGCTCTCTCTGCCCGCCGGCAGGCGCCTCAGGCCGACTCGGCCGCGCAGGCCTCACGCCGACTCGGCGGCCGCCAGCCGCAACAACCAATTTGCACAGACCGTGCCGTGCGCGCAGCACTGCTCGAACACAGCCGCGGCCCCGGGGGAAGACGTTCGCCTCATCCCCCTCTTGGCCCGAGGCCTCGCACGGAGGGCAGGCCCCGCCTGCGGTCGGACCCGGGCCTGCACCTCCGCCAGCCTGGCCCCCAGCACCCCCGAGGGGGTATCCACGCACCTGCGCTGCTTGGAGCTGCCCTGCAGCCACAACCACCACATGGCGATCCGCGAGGCTGCGCCAACCTCGTCGGCGGTCTGCTCGCTCTCGACCACGCCGCCGCAGCAGTCACAGCGCCAGCCGATGCCGCCCTCCTCGTGGCCGCTGCACCTCTCCATGCCGCCACGAGGGCAGCCCCCGCACGGGCCGCACGCGGCGCCGGCGTCGAGCTCGGCCCTGCACCCGCGGCCCCGCCCGCGGGAGAAGTGCGGCGCGCCCTCGGACTGCCCGCCGAACTTCTCGTCGCCCTGCTCCTCGTCCTCGTCGCCGCCGGAGGCCCCCACAGGGAGGGGGAGGGGGGGCGAACACCATCCCGCCCTCGGCCGGCGGCTTCCTCCACTGCGGCCGCGGACAGCACCTCCGGCGCCGCCCCGGTCTCATCGGTCACCTCGGTCACCTCATCCTCCTTCCCGCGCCACCCCGCGGCGGCGGCCTGGCCCGGGGAGGCGGCGCCCTGGCCCTGCGGCCGCCAGCGGACCTGGCGCCCTCGCCACAGGCTCTGGAGAGCGACGGCCGCCCGCTCGCGCCGCTCCGCAGCCTGCTGCTCCTGGCCTGCCGCCCGCCGCGCGCCTTCGGCCTCGGCCCATGCCGCAGCCGTGAGGACGGCCACCGCCTGGCCAGCCTGCCAGCGAGCGGCGCGGCCGCTGCCGGCGGGGCCCGAGGCAGCCCGCCAAGCTCCGTCCTTGAAGCGCCACCACGTCGGTGCGGGCGCAAGCCTGGGTGCCGCCGCCACTCCCAGACCTGTCGCCACCGCGCCCCCTCGAACAAAGGAATGGCGATTGAATTATCCACCCGCCCTGCCCGCTCCATAGCCCGCCCGTCTGGGTCCGCCCGCCCTGATGTCCCGCCCACCCGACCCGCCCGTGAAGGTCCGCCCGTTTGACCTGCCCGTCAGGGCCCGCCTCCTCGCGGCCCGCCCGTTAGAGGCTCCTCCTGCCCGGCTGCTTGCTCGTCGTACCCTCTTCGCGGTCTGCCTTGGGACTGGCACGAAAAGCGAGGCACCCCGATCGGGCGTTGCTAGAAGTGCCCCTGGCCCAAGGTGCCCCCCAGGATTTTCAAGGAGGACCCCTATGGCCTCAGAGCACCACTCTCGAGGCCCAGAGGGCCCCAGGGGTTCCAAACTCGGGCGAAACGCTGGGGGCGCCTTGGGCCAGGTGCCGCCCCCGACCCGAAGGGAGTACGTCCATGAACGAAGAGGGCGGGCGTCAAGGGTTCGGGCCATACGCTTCGAGGGGCACGCGGGCAAGGAGGAGCGAGGAGTCTCAAACGACTGTTATGGTTGAGCTCCCACTCTGATGATCATTTGTCTTGGAACCCCACCGTCTCGTGCCCGGTTTGTTTTATCAAGCAGTGCGCCCCTCGGCTCTCGCACCCTGACATATCGCGCAGTGAGCTCGGGAATCGCGCTCTCGCTCGAGACCCCCTGGCCATTCGCTCGAGATTTGCGTTCTCGCCCGAGAATCCCTCAACATTGTTTCAGTATCGCACTCCCGCCGCTCAGGAGTTGTGCTCTCTCGCGTGGGACCTCCCACAGCACATTCAGGAATTGCGCTCTCGCCACTCAGGCATGGTACCCTCCCCCATGATGTCCGCACAGTATACCTAGGACTCGCGCTCTTGCCCGAGATTTCCGCACGATTTGCCCAGGAATCGCGCTTCAACTGCCCATCCGCCGAGCCCGCCCGTGAGTGTCCGCCAGCCCGACCCGCTCGTCAGGGTCTCCCCGCCTGATCCACCCTTTAGGTCCGCCCGGCCGCTTGCATGGAAGCCCGCTCGCTTGCTTTGATGCGCACCTGCCCGACCCGCCCGACCCGCCCGCTAAGCTCCGTCTGTTCGCATGCTCGGAAGCCTGCCCTCCCGCTTTGATGTCCCGTCCGTACGATCCGTCAGTTCGGGCGCACTGGCTCGGAACGCATGTTGGGGCCCGCCCGCCCAAACCGCCCGCTACAATAGGGTCCGCCCGTCCAAACCGCCCGTTCGGGTCCGCCCGCCCGACCCGCCTGTCTTGCCTTGTCGGGGGTTGCACAGTGCCTAGCACGAAAAACGGAATCCCACCAAACACGGGGTACGTTGATGGACGACGAGGGTTGGCGTCAAGGGTTTGGGGTATTTATGTTGAATGACGCGCGGGCAAAGGAACACGAGCCGTCTCAACATTATGGTTGTCGTTCTTCTGATTTGTGACATGAGATTGTTGGTGGTGGTGATGGTCATGATAGTGTGTGTGTGTGTGTGTTCGCCTTTTTTGGTATAGTTCTCTGTGTGTGTGTGTGTGTGCGGATCCGAAGACATATGTGTGAAGTCAAAAGGTACCAGGCCATGGGAGGCAAAGTCACAAAACGGTAGCAGGAGGACCTGGGACCCAGGGTCACTGTGGTTGACCAGCACGGGCAGCTGGTTAAGGATGAGGATGAGACGTGAATCGCGCGAAGGGGAGAGGGAGGTGGGCGTGGAGATGGAGGGGGGAAAGGGGGCGAAGAGGGGTGGGGGAGAACGAGGAGAGGAGGATGAGGAGGATGAGTACGAGGTGGAGGAGGAGGAGGAGGAGGAGGAGGAGGAGGAGTACGCGGTGGAGGAGGAGAAGGAGGTGGAGGCTCAGGAGGACGAGGGAACTGGGCAGGGTGCGAGGGGGGAGGGCGAGGAGGGGGATGGAAGTTCTGGGGGTCGCCAGGTCTCCTTGCTTGTATTGGGTGGTCCAACTATGGCGGGGAGGTGTGGGAGAAGCAGGAGGATGACGTGAGAGTGGCCTAGTGGTTCATCTGTAGTTTCAGCGGGGGGATCTCACGGTGTTCCAGCGGTGTTGCATGGGAGGAGGGAGGAAGGGGAGGAGGACGAGGACGAGGAGGAGGACGAGGATGGTGATGGTGATGCTGATGCTGCTGCTGCTGATGCTGATGATCATGCTGATGCTGATGATGATGATGATGATGATGATGCTGCTGCTGCTGATGATGATGATGATGATGATGATGATGATGATGATGATGCTGATGATATGATGATGATGATGATGATGATGATGATGATGATGATGAGGATGATGATGATGATGCTGATGATGATGATGATGATGATGATGATGAGATATGATGATGATGAGATGATGATGATGATGATGATGATGCTGATGATGATGATGGTGGTGATGATGATGATGAGGAGGAGGAGGAGGAGGAGGAGGAGGAGGAGGATGAGGTGGTGGTGGTGGTGGTGGTGGTGTGGATGGCGGAGGGGGTAGAGGATGATGAGGTGGTGGAGGAGGAGTAGGGCGAGGGGGAGGGAGTGGGGGAGGAGGGGGGGGGAGGAGGAGGAGGAGGAGGAGGAGGAGGAGGAGGAGGAGGAGGAGGAGGAGGAGGAGGAGGAGGAGGAGGAGGAGAGGAACGCCCGCTCGCGAGGTCTTCTTGCCCAAGAACGCGCCCTCAGCCAGCGAGTCAAAGCTTCAGTCAAAGCGGACAGGACACGATGGTTGGAAGACAGCTTAGCAACAGGGGATTGGACACAGATCCGGCAGCTCAGGAAAAGCGCCGTTCCCCGACAGGGCCGTCTCCAGAATTTGGGCGGAGAGCTGGTCGACTCAGACACTCGCGCCGACACGCTGGCAGAATATTTCAGCAGGGTCCAATGGGCTGTTCGGCCAACCACCGTGGCCGGTTTCTCGGACAGTCTGGGAGCCGCCCTGCCGGTGTCGTTTCAGGACATCACAGAGGACGCGGTCGTGAGAGCCGCCGCCAAACTCAAGGCTGGGAGGGCGGCTGGCAAGGACGACGTCCCGGCGGAGTTCTGGAAGGCCGTTTGCATCCGAGAGACAGAAGCGTGCCGCTGGGTGGTGGCTCTGTGCAACAGGTGCTGGCGGGACCGCAAGGTTCCGGAGCCGTGGCACGAAGCGCTGGTCGCAGCCATATTCAAGAACGGAGATGTGGCAAAATGCGAGAATTACCGCCCAGTCTCGCTCCTCTCGGGCGGGTACAAGATATTCGCTGCCATCCTTTTGAACCGCCTGAAGAACGGCGGCGCCGAGGGCCGCGTATGGGCCACCCAGTTCGGCTTCAAGAGCCGGCACGGCACGGCAGACGCTATCTTTCTGGTGCGCAGGCTGCTCGAGCGCACATGGGCGGAAAAGAACGGAAGGCTGGTATTGCTCGCTCTCGACTGGGCAAAAGCGTTCGACAGGGTCTCGCCCGACGCACCCTGCCTCTCCTTGGAACGTTTCGGCGTCCCCGACCATTTCGTCCAGGACGCCAGGGCCATCTACACCAACCGCACCTTCGCCGTCCGGGATGCAGGAGTCACTTCAGCCACACACACACCCGCAGTTTTTCGGAGTAAGCCAGGGGGGCCCGCTTTCCCCGCTCCTCTTCGCAATCGTTATGGCGGTGCTGCTACACGACGCGAAGAGAGAAAGAGAGAGAGAGAGAGAGGCGGCGCCGAGCTTGGACCCGAAACTGCACGCCCACGAGCTCGTGTATGCGGACGACACACTTCTGCTTGCCACGTCGGCTCACCTGGCGGAGGGGTACATGGGGGCCGTGCAGCGAGCTGGACTCCAGTACGGCTTGCAGTTCAATTGGCGCAAGATCGAGGTGCTGACAGTCGGCGTCGATGCGTGTTTATCGAAACCAGACGGCAGCACAGTCCCGCAGCGAGAAAGCATGGTATACCTCGGGAGCGCCATCAGCGACGACGGGAAGATATGATCAGAATTGTCGCGGTGGCTGGGCGCGGCGCGGGCATAATTTGACAAGCTTACCAAAGTCTGGAATCATTCGACACTGACCCAACAGCGCAAGATCCGAATATTTGAGTCCTGCGTGGTGAGCAAATTGTTATACTGTGTCCACACGGCCTTCTTGCACAAGCAAGAAAATCGTCGTCTGGATGCGTTTCAGGCACGGTGTCTCCGCAAGATTCTCCGGATCCCACACTAATACATCAGCAGAGTCCCCAATGCAGTCGTGCTCCAGCGGTCGGGGGCACGCCTTTTGAGCAATTCACTCCTTCGTAAACAGCTGACCTTTTTGGGGCACGTCGCCAGGAAGCCAAGCGACGATGCCGTGCGCCTCGCAGTTTTCCAGCCGTTTTCGCATCAGCTGGCGGGTCCGCCCGAAAACAGGAAACGGGGGCGCCCGAGAAAGACCTGGCCGCAAGAGATTTACCGACATGCCTGCGCTGCTGCCGGGGGTGTGGAGGCCCTTCCGGCGCTCCTGCGCAACACAGCCCAATCGGCGACGGCGTGGCTCTCCGCTGTGCACACGTACTGTGACGCCGGGTAGTCGTTCAATTCGTGTTCATGTGCTTGTTTCTGTCTCACATCATTTGTGCGGCTGGCAGCTCAATTTGTACAATTTGTTTCACATGTTCGCCACATGGCCAATGCACCTCTGACGTGCACGGCTTTCTTCTTCTTCTTCTTCTTCTTCTTCTTCTTCTCTCTGCCGAGCTGACCCGATCCGAGGCGCGTTCGGATTCGATCCTGGCCCCCGAGTCGATGCCGATGGGTCCTGGGAGGAGGAGGGGGAGGAGGAGGAGGAGGAGGAGGAGGGGAGGAGGAGGAGGAGGAGGAGGAGGAGGAGGAGGAGGAGGAAGAGGAGGAGGAGGAGAAGGAGGAGAAAAAAGAGAAGCAGAAGGAGGAGGAGGCGCAGGAGGAGGAGGAGGAGGAACAAGAGAAATACAACATATAGCAGTAATACTACGGATAATAATAATACGAATAATAAGCGTAGTAATACTACTAATCGTAACCATGCTAAGTGGACGGGGACGAGGGCGAGGATGAGGAGCTGGAGGTGGAAGGGGTGGGGGCGGGTCACTCGGCTACGGAGTGCAGCGTCCGCGGTGCGTGCCCGCTCCAGGCGGCCCAGAAAGAGCTCATCGAGCCGCCGCCATCGCCGTCGCTGCCCGGTCACGCTGGCGCCTGAGGTGCCAGCCTGAAATGACGAGGCCCATTCCCGAGGGGAGGGCCGATGATTGCGACGAGAGGGGGTGGGTAGGAGAAGGCGGAGGAGGAGGAGGAGAAGGAGGAAGAGGAGGAGGAGGAGGAGGAGAAGAGGGAGGAGGAGGAGTATGAGGAGGAGGAGGGGGAGGAGGAGGAGGGAGGAGGAGGAGGAGGAGGAGGAGGAGGAGGAGAGGAAGGAGGGGAGGAGGAGGAGGAGGAGGAGGAGGAGGAGGAGGAGGAGGAGGAGGAGGCGCAGGAGTAGGAGGAGGAGGAGGAGAAGGAGGAGGAGGAGGATGCAGGAGGCAGGCGGCAGGAGGGAGGAGGGCCAGCCCACCCAATTCGGTGCGCTCCCTGGGGCCAGCTCGCGTCAGCGACGGCAGCCCGGCGGGCTTCCTATTCGGTTTTTTTTGTGGGCGTCGCGTAATGGGGGGGGCCATATATTGGGGGGGCAGCGAGGGCTGCAGAAAAGGGGCCCTGAAGGGCCCCTACAAAGGGCCCCTTAAAGGGGGCCCCTTGAGGCCCAAGAGTGGGCCACGAGGGCCCGAAAAGTGCACGTTGCCTGCCACCCCATTCTCGCCCTCCCCCGTTCAGCGACCCCCCACTTTTACGAGGTGCGGGTCGCGGTGTCGCGCGCAGGGCGCAGCCGCCCGCGAGGCCTCGAGCGGGCTGCCGGCGCCCACTGGGCGAGCCGCGGCCGCCCCCGGAGCTCCCTCGGCCTGCGGGGATTCCCCCCCCCCGCTCGGCGGGCGCGCAGCAGGAGGCAGGGCTCACTTCGCTCCGATCGATCCGGTTCGACATCGGGCTTCGTCTTGGGGCGCAACACGTGCCGTGCTCAACCCGTCCGTGTCACTGCGTTCGGTTCTGGCTCCTCGAATCAGCCTTCGCTTTGGCGAGTGTCTGACGTCAGAGCTACGTTTTCAGTCCACGTGTTGAGTCCCGTATCAACGCGCTGCGTGTTGCGTGTTGCGAAGTCGGGGCAGCGAAGGCCCGATTCACTTCGAGTTTCCGATTCTCTGCCGATCTGGCGCGGCCCAAAATACCTGCGTCGCGCTGCTGGTGCACCCTCTGGCGCAGCCGATCCCACTCGTTTTTCCGCCCGGCTTCTCTCTGCCGAGCTGACCCGATCCGAGGCGCGTTCGGATTCGATCTTGGCCCCCGAGTCGATGCCGATTGGTTCTGGGAGGAGGAGGAGGAGGAGGAGGAGGAGGAGGAGGAGGAGGAGGAGGAGGAGGAGGAGGAGGCAGGAGGAGGATGAGGGAGGAGAGGAGGGGAGGGGGAGGGGGAGGAGGAGGGGGGGGGGCGCCTCCGAGGAGGCCCCTCGACCGCCGCCCTGTCGAAGAGGCCAGAGCGGCACGGAGCACGCAAGCTTTGGGGGTCCCGCGCGGGGGTTGCCCGGGGGGTCCGTGCCTCGGGCCCTCCGGGCGATGCTTTCTGACAGTCTGCGCCGTGCAGGGAATGGTCAACACGCGCGCGCGCACACGCGCACTGGCGATGATATTTCCATGCTCGGCCAAGACTCTGCAACCTCGGCTGTACCCTCGCTTGCTCAGCGCGTTCAAGCAAAACACTATCATGCAAGATGCTCTGCCTTCTGCCAGCGTTGTGGCATTGTGCCGAGAGGACAGCAGCCACCGCCGACGCCATCGTGACCTGAACTCGCCGCGATGGCAGTCGGCCGGGCCCGGCCGCCACGGGGCCTTCGGGGGCCTCGAGCGGGCCTCCAGGAGGCTTTCTGGAGGCCTCGGGGCCATTTTCTGGCGGGACTTCAGAGTTGCGGAGCAGCGTCAGGTGAATCCATGAGCGCTCAACTGGCCCTCGAGCCTGTACGGTGGAAGCCCATGCCAAGAAACACCCTGATTGCCTCCAGGGTGCCCTGGGTTTCTGGAGTTTCGATGCTTCTGCGATGGAAGACGTGAGGTTCCCGCACCAAAAATCCATGGACGCCCTGGGGCCTCAGGGTTGGGTTTCTTGTGGAAGGTTTGTTTGGTCGAGCTCCTGCTGTGTGTCGCACAGACCCACCCGTCAGTCTCGGGGGCTGCTTCCTCCCGGGCCCTGGGTGCGAGGTGCCCGGATGCTGGGCCCTCCCCGCTCGATCGGGGGCCCTCCTGAGCTCCGACAGCTCGCGCCCACACGCCCTCACCGCCTCGCTCTTCCTCCGCCATCCTCCACAGATCGGCTCGAGCGTGCGCTGTTCTCGTCTTCGTCACGCACGATCCGCGTGGTCTCGGGAGCCGGCGCCGACGCTGGCGGGACGTCAGCCAGCGCCGAAGCTCGGCACGGCAGGCCGCGGCACCAGAGCTCCCCACCTCTTGCCCGGAGGTAGCGTCTCGCGCTCCGGATCCATGTCTGAGGGCCCCGGGGCCCGATGATTCGGGGGCCCCTTCCGTGTGGTGACCACACCGTGTGGTGAGTCGGTGGGGATTCGGGGTCACCGCACGGTGTTGGGTCTCGAGTCCCTCTCCGAGGATGTCTCGGGCGACAGGGGCCTCCAGGGTCCCAAAACCGTGCTGCGACGGATCGTGCGGTGAGGTTTTGGGGGATTTCGAGGTCACCGCACGGTCCGTCACCGCTCCGTTTCAGGACTCCAAGATGATGGGCCCTGGTCGGACGGGGCTAGGACGAGGGGAAATACATTCCGGAGCGTTCCGGAACGCTCTCAGAGCGTTTCGGACCACTCCGAGAAGGCCGCGGCGCCCGAAACATCCGCCAGAGCCGCCAGATCTCGCTTACCAGCCAATCGGGACCGAACCCACCGCGCCTCTGGAGAGTGTCGAGGGCTGCGGTCCGCGGCAGCCCATGGACGGGCGCGCGTTGAGTTCTTTGTTGGGCGCGGGCAGAAGCGAGATGAACCGACGTATGCCAGCGCGTCCGCAGCGCTTGAGGCCGGTGATTCCGTCGATGGTTATAGCGCGCGCGAGCTTGGCGGCTCTCATTGCCGGCGTTGCCAGACAGGGAATTGTAAGTCCGCGCTCGCCCCTCAGGGCCTGGCCCCGTTCCGAACAAACACTGCTGTCCATTTAAACATTTAGTGCGGTGTGCCTTTGGAGGCCTCGCGATGGCTCGGCGCTGATCGGGGATTCCTTGCAGCGCGAGGCGGTGCGAGCATCGCGCGGGCGCGTTGGCGGGTGATCCCGCTAACTGCTTGGCGCAGCTAGTATTTTTGTGATTGTCGTCTTGCGCGTGCAATGTGCCCGGTGTGGCCACTGTGCCTCGCGTGCCTGGCGCCCCGCTGGTTTGCCTGTCGCGCGCGCGGCGCGCGCGCTTGCCGCGGGTTGCCTTCGATGTATTTTTGCTTGTGTTCCCTGCCCTCCCGCATTTTCGGCCCTCGCTTTGATTTCGCGGCGCTTCGCGCCATATCCTTTCTCCTCTACTCTCCCCCCCTCTCCTCGTCCTCCTCTTCCTGATATTGTTCCTCCCCGCTTCATTTCCTCCTTGTCCGTCCCCTTCCTTTTTGCGCGGTGGGCTTTCGGTTTGTAGCCGCGCCGAGGCAATTTCAGCACGCCCTTCGCGCCGCGCGCTGTTCGTTGTCCCCATGCGGCTTGACATTGAAAATCCCTGTGGTGTAAATCGTATGCTGACGCCGCAACAAGTCTAGCACGCGTTATGGCCCCGTGTGCATCCTTGCCGACGCGTCGTGGTCGCGCGCCGCCTCGCCGACCATTCCAAAACCATTTTCACAATGTCGGTTGCCTCATAAGGAGCTCAACCGATATCCCACAGAACACAGGCCGCACGCCGCCGCCCAGACTCTTTGAGGGCCGTTTCTCTCGCGGTTCGCGTCTCCGTATTTTGAGAGTTCCATTGAAGGCCCCTGCGGCACAGGCCGCGAGCCGCGCCCGGGCCATTTCAACGCGCTCGCCGCGCCATTCGTGGGCCCATAGGGACTGCCACCGAATGCTTTGCGGGATAGGCCGTTTGCCACCGCCCAGACCGTTTTAGTTAATTCAATGTACGGTTCGCGGACCCCCGCGGAGCTGTGCCAAATGTATTGAGGTTGCGCAGGACGCATGCCACCGCGCAGACCGTTGCAGCACGCCCATCGAACGGTTCGGCGCCCAATCATACGAAACCCCATCGAAGGCGTTTGTAGCGCAGGGCGCATGCTGCCGCTCAGACTTCTTTAAAACGCCAGCCATACGCTCCGTGGCAATATGAGGGGTTCCGCCAGAAACGCAGGTGACACAGGCCGCGCGTCGCCGCCCGGGCCATTTCAATAGTCTTCGCACGATCCGCGGCCGCCTGAGGAAACGCCACTGAAGGGTCGTCAGGCACAAACCGCACGCCGCCACGCAGACCATTTAGCACACACCCCTCACGGTTCGTGGCCCCGTAGGGAACTCTGCCGAAAGCGCTTGTGGCACATGCCGCGTTGCGCCGTCCAGACAATTTCAGCACGCGGCCAACGTGTTTTGTTGCCAAATGTGGAGCACAGGCCGCAAGCCGCCGCCCCAAGCCAATTCAGTGCTGTCTCGCGCGATTCGTGGGCCCACTGGGAGTTCTAGCGAAAGGTTTTGTGGCACAGGTTGTTTGCCGCCGCCCAGACCATTTAAGCGCAGTCATCACACGCTTGGTGGCTTCATGGGGAGCTCCACAGGATGCCCTTGTGGTAAATTTCGCATGCGCACTAATTGTTTTCGCGCGTGTCGGGCGGTCTTGTCTATTTTCGCGCTGCGTTCAGAAAGTGTTGGCTCTTTCGCCAGGCTCACTCTGTATTGGAGGGGCAGAAGGGAAACATCGGAAAAACGGACCAGCATGATGAGGACGATCGATGGCAGGGTCACTATTTGAAGGATGACGCAGGCGAGGGGCGCCTCCGATGAGGGGCATTCAGAGCATTTGTTTGGCATGTGGGCGAGCAGTGCTTCACAGTTACAATATATTTTGGTGCGACACGGAGCTGTCACAGTGCGTGGGCGGACGGCATTGGAGGCAGGATCGACGAGGGGGGCGTAGGAGCAGAATCGAAGGGGGACGAGGGGCAGAAACGGGGGCGGCGGGCAGGGCAGAGGGGGGGGCAGAGGGCTTTGCGGGGAAGCCCATGGAAGGCTCCGCGAGGGCTCCCATGGGCCCGCGGTGGGTCCGGACTCCCCCCACCGCGGTGGGTCCGGACTCCCCTCGGCATCGTTTTTTTACACGTCTGGGAGGACTGCCGAGGGGAGTCCGAACCCACCGCGGCCCCCATGGGCGCTCCCGCAGCGGTGGGTTCGGACTCCCCTCGGCAGTGGATTTTGACATGTCCGGAGGGGCATGGCGCGGGCTCGGCATGGCCCCCCGGGGCCCTCGAGTCCGTTGCGACTGGGGATCCAAAGCGCTGTCTGGGTCCCAGAGTTGTCGTGTCGTTGGGGGCATGGGCGGGGGAGTCAACCGATGCTGCCTCCAGATTATGACAGTGGGTGTGCGAAAATGAGCTGGTGGAGCCTGAGCGGGACCTGCAGTGGGCCGTCCTGGAGCTGTCTTCATGTCTAGTGCCAGTGCCGTATCAGGATGTTATGTTTTTTTCTCGGAGGCATCTTGGCGACTCCCTGGTGCCCCATGGGGGAGCAATGGAAGGCTTGGGATTGCGTTGCAGCGGACTCGGTTTGTCTTCGAGCCGTCCTTCGCCTGCCTTGGAGGCGACGTGGAGGCATGTGAGCCATCGGAAGAGTAGTGTGATGGAGCTCTTGGAGGCCGTCGTTTTGTTCTAATTCTCGTGTCTGTTGGGTCCTCGTTGTGAGCCCGCAGCGCTGAACGCCTCCTCTTCTGTCTTCCCCCCCCTCTACCGCCGCCTCCTACTCCAAGTCGCTTCATTTGCTCTTCATGTATCCTTTATTTGCATGGTGGATCTTTGCTTTGGCTCTGCCAATGCAGTTTCGGCACGCCGTCTGAACGATTCGTGGCCCCATAGGGCCCCGCCGAAGGCCTCCGTAGCACAGGCCTCTTTCCGCTGCCCGATGCCAAGTCAGCACGCACCCCGCACGGTTCGCGGCCCCATAAGACGGTGGCACCGAAGATTCTCGCAGCAAAGGATGTGCGCCGCCGCCCAAACCATGTCAGCACACCCTTCGTTCGGTTCGTGGCCCCATAGGATGCTACGCCGAAGTCTTTTGCAGCTCGGGCCGCTTGTCGCCGCCCAGACAACTTAAGCACCCCCCTCAAACAGTTCGTGGCCCCATGCGAAGTCCCACTTAGGGCCCTTGTAACACAGGCCGCCTGCCGCCGCCTAGTCCACTGAAGGTCTTGCTTCGCACCGCTCGTGGCCCCGAAGGGAACCCCGCCGAAGGTTTTTTGGGCATAGGCCGCATGCCGCCGCCCAGACCGCTTCAGTTCTGCATTCACACGATTCGTGGCACCATGGGAAGTTCGGCCGAACATTTCTGTTAGTGCGCAGGCTGCGTGCTTCCGACCGTGCAGGGTCAAATGAAGTATCCCGCGTATCGCGGCTTCATTGAGGTCAACGCGGAAGGTTGCTGTTGCACGCGCCGCGCGCCGTCGCCGAGAGCATAGCAGCACGTTCTCACGCGGCTCGGGGCTCCACAGGGTGCAACGCAGATGGCTTCTGTCGCACGGGCCGCTTGCCACCGCCCAGTCCACTCCAGCACCCCCTCACACTGTTCGTTGCCACACAGGGAGCTCGACCGAAATTTGTCGTTCCAGCACAGGCCGCACGCCGCTGCCCAGTGCATTTCATGTTTTAGCTCTTGCAATCGTGGTCCCATACGGAACCCCGCCGAAGGCCTTTGTAGCGCAGGCAATGTTTCGTTGCCTGGGCCATGTCAGCACGCCCTGACACGGTTTGTGGCCCCATAGGGAACGCCGCCAAACGTTTTGAAGCACAGGCCGCTTGCCGCCGCCGAGACCATTTCAGTTTTTTCTTCATTCGGTTCGTGGCATCATAGGGAGCTCCACCGCCGGCCATTGTAGCACAAGCCGCGCGCCGCCGCCCGGACCATGTCAGTACAGTCTTCACACGGTTCGCTCGTGGCCTCCAAGGGGGGTGCACCGAAGGTTTTTGCGGCACACTTCGCTTGCGGGTTCGATGTGCTGGTTAGTGTTGCATGCGCGCTGCGTTCTGAAATGGTCTGCGTCTTCGCAAAAATAAGTATGTGAGTCTGTGTGGGGCTTGTCGTGGCCCTTTTCTATGAATGCGTGGAACTGCGCCCTGAAAAAAGACGAGTCTTGCGTTTGGACGGCCGGTAATGTCAGTCATGCCAACCTTGCAGCGCGAACCCTTTTGAACCTAGCGTGAGACGTGCCTTCACCGTCAGCCCCGACCTTGGGCGACACACGTGCGGCGCTGCAGACATTCCGCAAAACCGACTTCACCACAAGTGTGCGGGAGGCGCGCTAATCGCAAATAATTGGGTACGCAATTGCCAGACGCGCAACAAAACGCAACATTTGTTGTACCGCCGCGCGACGAAAGCGTAAATCTGTGCGCCGGCCGAAAGCATTACAGGACAGCAACACCGTGACACATGATGCAGCCAACTCTGACCACCGCCGGGGGACGCGGTGGGTTCGGTCCCGATTGCCTGGCTTTGTCCTCCCCAGCTTTTGTCCTCGTCCTGGCTTCGTTTTTTACCCTGGAGGCCGAGATTGCGATAACAAAGTCGCTTGGATTGAAAATCATACCTTCGTTCGGTAGCAAAGCATGGGAGCCCGGTCTACCCTCTCAGGTCCGCCGTCAGCGTCGATGAGCGCCTGGGAGGCGACGAGATAGCGCCGATTCCGCGTCGCTCAGCGTCGATTCAGCGTCCATTCGCGTCGATTTGGCGTCGACTGGCGTCGATTCGCAGGAGCCGACAAGATGGGATGGGAGGCCCCCACGAGTTGCTGACCGACACCTCGGAGGCCTGGGGAGGCGCCCCTCGTGGTGGTCGGAGGCCCCGGCGGGGCGGCCTCGGTGAGCAGCGCGCCGGCTGCCCGCTGTGTTTGCCCCGTGGCCCAGCGGGGCAGCGACAGGCCAAGAGGGGGGGGGGGCAGAGTGGCTCGGGGGGGGGGGTCAAAGCAGGAAAAGGTACCCATACCTCTATCCTTCGCCCGTTCTCCCCCCTCTGGGCCTCCTCGGAGCCCTCGTCGCCACCACTGGATTCGCCCCGGAATCCTGGTCAGAACGCCCCCCGGGAGAGGTCCGGGGAGTAGCGGTATCGGTACCTCTTTGTTTCCCCTGGGGGGGCAAAGTTTCGGGCTTGCGAGGCTCCAGGGTTTCGGGCGTCGGTTCTCGGCGGTTCTTGCAGCCTCGGGCTGCTTTCCTTTCCAGCAGCTGCGCCTCGTCGAGGGCTGTCGTTCGGAGGAGGAAGGAAAAGGTATCCATTCCGCTACCCTTGCCCCGTTGTCCCCTTCCTGGGCCTCCCGGGAGGCCCTCGTCGCCACCGCTGGATTCGCCTCGCCTCGCAATTCTGGTAATAACGCACCCCGTGAGAGGTCCGGGGAGTATCGGTATCGGAACTTTTATTTCCCAAGTAATCGGCCGAGGGGGCGCGACCGGCTCTTGTTTTAAACTCATCACAGTCCGGAAACATCGAGGCCAAAGCCATAGGACTAGCAATGATTTGTGTCTCTTGGGGCCCTCTTGGGAGTGCTCTTGGAGGCCTCTTGGGGCGGCTTGGAAACCTCTTGGGCCGTCTGGAGGCTACTTTGGCGTCTTGGACCGATAGTTCGGCAATTCAGGGCCCTCTTGGACCCGGGACCCCCCTGGGACCCCCCCCCCGGCGGGGAAGGGATCAGAGGGAAGGGGCTTCCCTTTGACTCAACTACGACGTTGCTGCTAATTTTGCTTGGGCTGTTGCGCTTGCGGAGGAGGGCCCAGGGAAAGGGGGGGGAGCAGCGACGGCGACGACGACGGCGACGACGAACGGAAGAGCGTCTTCCACACGCCGACAGGGTCGGCGGATTAATCTTCGGGGACCCTGGCAGGCAGTGGATATGGACATGTTCAGGCCCCCTGGGGCCAAACTGTGTCCATATCCACCGCCCCCTGGGGCCCCAGGACGTCGTATGTCGCCAGGCGGGGGGACATGGATAAATCCCCGCCCCGCGCCCTCTGAGAAGGCCCCCCCCCCCCACGTCCCCTTCGGTAGCACATCATGGGAGCCCTTTGTGCCCTCGTAATTCGGTCTTTAGCGTCGATTAGCGTCGTTTCGCGTCTGGGAGTCGATGAGGGAGCGCCGATGTAGCGTCTCGGTTAGCGTCGATTCAGCGTCGACCTAGCGTCGATATAGTACCGATTTAGCGTCGACGAGCGTCGATTCGCAAGGGCCGACAAGATGGCATGGGAGGCTCCCATGAGTTGCCACCGAACTTCACCCCTCGGCGCGCCGCCGACTCAGCCTAGCAGCACGTAGCCAGATCCACGCGCCAACGAACTCTAGCCCAATTCGGGGCGACAGGCTCGAGCCGCACCGTGTGCCGGGCCGTGTCGCCCTACCCCGCAGCCCGCGGAGCATGGGGCTGCCTGCATGCGGAGTGTACAGGAGGAAACGTTCTCTCGGGGTGGCTCTTGTGGTGGTGGTGGAGGAGGAGGAGGAGGAGGTCTCAGAAGGAGAAGGAGGAGGAGGAGGAGGAGGAGGAGGAGGAGGAGGACGACGAGGAAGAGGACGAGGAGGTGGAGGAGGAGGAGGAGGAGGAGGAGGAGGAGGAGGACGTGCTTGATAACAAAAATGCAGACTGAGGAGGTCGCGTAAGATGCGCAACGAGGTTCCCATTAGGCCACGGGGCCCTGGTACAATGTTACAGAGATCAGCCCAGGGTCTCTCCGGTCGCTCAGGAAGAGGAGGAGGAGGAGGAGGAGGAGGAGGTAAACCCAAGGTGAATCAACGATGTAGTAGACCCACCCTGCATGATTCCTCTTCATAGGCCACTCGGATAATGTATTTTCATTTCGAGAAGTGCCCCATTGGAAGACATCCGTCTGAGAATTCTCAAACGTGCTAAGACGCACTTCCTATCACGTCAACACCGCGAATCAACGTGACTGCAACGTCCTGGTAACCCTAAACCGTGCTAGTACACCATGCCGGGAACCTCAACACCACGACTCAACGTGACTCTTGCGTCCTGACAATCCTCAACCATGCCAGAAATCCATCCCTGGGACTTCAGCCATACGAATCCTTGAAATGGAAGTGTCTGCGAACTTTCCAGACGAATGTGCGTGACGCTAATGCGAGAGCCACTTTTTGAAAATGGATTGCTCTCCACCCTTGAAATGCTGCAGCCATGTAAGACGAATGTGCGCGGCGTTATTGCGAGGGCCTCATTTTGCAAGCGACCCGCCCTCCATGAAGGAGGGGTCACGAAGGAAGGTGCACGCCGTTTCTTCGGGGTGATCGCTGAGCCCATTTGGGCCCGACGATTGCACGCGGATGGGAGGAGGCAGGTGGGAGGAGGACGAAGGGAGAAGCGTGAGGATCCTCCCCTTCCCTTCACCTACTCCTTTCCCTTCTTCCCCTTCCCCCACTCCTCATCCTGATCCTGCACCTTCTCTTCCTCCTCTCCCTCCCCCTCCCTTTGCTTCCTCCTCCTCCTCCTCCTCCTCCTCCCTCTTCCCCGCCTCCCCTTCCTCCTGCTCCTGTCATCACTCCCCCTCTTCAGCTTTGTTCCTCCTCCTCCTCCTCCCCGTCCTCCTCCTCCTCCTCCTCCCCGTCCTCCTTCTCCTCTTCCTCCTCCTTCTCCTTTTCTTCCTCCTCACCATCATCATCATCATCATCATCATCATCATCATCATCATCATCATCAGCATCATCACCACAACCATCATCATCACCATCATTATCATCACCATCATCAACATCACCGTCATTACCAGTATCATCATCATAATCAGCATTTACATCAGCATCATCAGCATCATTATCATCGCCATCACCATCACCACCATCATCATCGCCAACACCAGCAGCATCACCATCATCACCATCACCACCACCATCATCATCACCACCATCTCCATCATTATCATTATCGTCACCACCAGCATCATTATCATCGTTGGCACCATCATCGTCCTCGTCATCATCATCATCATCATCGTCATCATCATGAACACCAGCAACATAATAATATTCATCATCATCATCATCATCATCATCATCATCATCATCATCATCATCATCGTCATCGACATCGTCATACTCATCGTAATCATCATCACCACAAACAGCGACATAACCATCATCAGCAACACCATTCATCACCAACAGCACATCACCACCAGCAGCAGCAACAGCATCATCATCATGATCATCACCATCCGCATTCTCATTCGCATCATCATCCCATCACCATCGTCCCCTCCTCATCGTCAGCAGCATCATCATCCTCATCCTCATGCTCATCGTCATCATCATCATCCTCATCCTCATCATCATCACCATCATCATCATCACCATCATCGTCATCATCATCATCACCATCACGATCACCATCACCATTATCATCAGCATCAGCATCATCATCATCATCATCATCATCATGATCATCATGATGATCATCATCATCATCACCATCATCATCATCATCATCATCATCATCATTATCAGACCATCAAGGACAACAAGGTGGTAGGCCCCGACGGCCTGCCGATTGAGGTGTGGAGGGCTGCCCGTGACCTCGCAGCCGACCACATTGCAGAGATCATCGAAGACGCCAATCTAGACCGATGATGTCCCCGTGGCATGGCGCGGGGCAGGGCGTCATCCGGACCGATGATGTCCCCGTGGCATGTCTCCGAAGACGTCATCCAGACCGATGATGTCCCCGATGATGTCCCCGTGGCATGGCGCGGGGGAAGGCTAGCCGAACTATTCCAAGGAAAGGGCGGCACGGCAGAGTGCGACATGTACCGTGGGCTCCTGTTAGGTGATCACGCTTCGAGAAACTTCACGGGGGTCCTGCGCCCGTCCGTTCAACGCCGAGTTGAGGAATTGCTACCTCCGCAGCAGTGCGGTGGGGTTGTGTGCTCGGGGCCAATCGTGGCCACCGCGTCGTGTCGAGCTTCGTCGAGAGGACCACCATCGAGAAGAGGCCGGCGGCCATTCTGTTCCTTGACCTCACGAAATCTTTCGACAAGCTTGTACGCGAAATGGCCTTCCACCACCGAGGCGGATCTGACCGCACAGCTCAAGCAAGTAGGGGTCACGACACGGCAGCCTCGCATCTGGCCAAATACCTCATGCAACACGGTGGCATCTTGCAGCAAATCGAAGTCCCCGAGCACCTCATCAGCTTGGTGGCCAACCTGCAAACCGACACCTAGTTCGCACTCCTCCCAGAGGGCAGGGTCATCCAGACAACGAGGGGCTCACGCCAAGGCTGCCGCTTCGGCGCCCCTTGACCTTCAATATTGCATTTAGCGTAGCCCTGGGAGAGCGTCGAGCAGCGCTTGACGAGCTTAAGCTTACATTCGCTGTGGAGTGC